GAACAATATGATCATGGTGTGATCAGTATTTGAAAGGGGTGGGAGCAGCCTTGGGACGGGTGAAGTAGAAAGGTCTGACGCTAAAGAGGTTCAAGTGCTTGTCGGGTGGTAATGGTATCCATATAACGACAAGGGAACTCCCGTGAGACCCTTGTTGACATTGGTCGGGTACTTGCAAGTCTCAAGTGGAGATGTGTAGAGCTTGACTCAGCACTGAGCTATGTCCTTGATGTTGTTCAACGACACGTAGAAGTATCCCTTATAGTTAGTTGGGTCGCTCTAGATCACAGCCACCTTCTTGCTCGTTCCGTATGATGCTAGCTCGGTGTACTCAATCTTGATCTTTGATCCTACAAGAATTCAAATTAACTGAGAATTTTGTAATTAGTAACTTTGTTGTTATAATAGATATTTGTTTAGGAAGCCTTAAGTATTACTTTATACCTAGAATTGGGTAGGTTTCGTAGCCATTTTTGCAAAGGATGATACCCTCAACGGCTTTAATGATCTGTGGGACATATGGAACAACGTATGGCTTGGTGGGTGGAGCGTAGGTTTGTTTTGGGACATATGGAGGTGGAGGAGAATGGCTTGGAGAATTTTTGTAGACCGGATGTGAGGGGGTTGGCTTGTAGGCCGGTGGAGTGTAATCCGGAGGTGGAATAGTTGGCTTAGTGTGAACCGGAGGTGAGAGGGTAGGCTTGTTATATATAAAAGTATTAATGAAAAAAGTATCTTTCTTTCTATACATAGCGTGGGAGTCGAAACTAGCACAATTAGATTTGTTAGGGTTTCGTAAAGAGGTAGAGATTTCTAGGGTTAGCTAAGATCACAAAGGTATGAAAAAGTTGTTTGTTATTGCTNTGTAAGATTTTGNGAACAAGATTGCGANTNNCTTCTCAAGGNCTTTTACATCAAGTATATATACTATCTCTAAGGCGGCCAAGCCTCCTAAGTCTTCGCGGATTCCTTTCTTGCCAAGGTCGGTTGCATCGAAGTGGGCTTCGCGTCTGGACCGGGCTTTGGACTGTCTTTGTGTCATCGGGTCGTCTTCATGTTTTTGGGCTGCTGGGCCCAGGACGCGGTCGGACCGTCGAGGATCCGAGGACGCGGTCGGACCGTCAAGGATCCGAGGACGCGGTCGGATAGTTGAGGATCCGAGGACGTGGTCGGATCCTCGGTCGACCCGAGGACGTGGTCGGATCCTCGGTCGACCCGAGGACGTGGTCGCCCGCCTTGTCCCGGTGCTTCCTGCTGCGCTTAGACTTATTTCATGCCACTTGCATTGCTTCGTAGGAAGACTTAGGTGCTATTTCGCCTTGTTCGTCGAGAGTCCGGAGGGTCACTTTTTCAGTTGTCTGACTTTGAACGTTAATGTTGAGCGGGTGAAAACCGACCCCAACACATAGCCATTAGGAATAGGGAAAATTATGAGGAATGCTATAATGGCTTCCAAAACTTTTCTAAAATGTCATAATTTGAAACTTTTTCCAAAAGATGCCACAAATCTACTATTCATGCATATAAAAAGACAGTTTTACCTTAGCTATAACTTATGTTGTAGTTAGTATTTTAATCAACCACCATTTATTTTTTTTCTACTACCACTTATTATTTCGTCCATCACCATCGATCTCCGTTCACCGGCTACCAATGTTTCATTTTCGTAGTCCACCACCGTCTCTATCCACTACAACAGTCTAAATAGTCGTTTCTTTCCACCATCCAACCACCGTAA